CATCATAAAGCAATTAGGTGAGATAGATCAAGATAGGCATCCATGACAGGGAGGAGTGGAATCATAGTGACCCAGAGTGATATCTTAGAGGTGAAGTGGGGGTGAAGAGAATACCCATGCAGTCAGAGTAGCCCAGTGTGGAGAGTCAGAACTCAAAAAGGGTGAGATGATAAGATCCACAAAAGCAGGAAAGGGAGGTGTGTAGTATGAGATGTCAGAACGTGAGCAGGGTAAACAGGATGACCATGCTAGGACTTGTTATGGGCAGTCAGTGGCCAAGTGTGATTAAGAAGCATTCACAGAGCCGAGCAGCTTGACACAAGAAGTCAGTTTAGTCAGGAGGATATTAAATAGGAGGCTTGCCTGGCATGCAGAGTAAAAGCCTAAGTCCAGAGAAGAGGAAATCCACAAGGGGGAGGCAGGCTAGTGTAGAAAATCAGCGGCCAAGCAAGGTGAGGAGGGCATCCGTGCATGGAGGTGGGGCATCCCTGTGTGGGCAGTTAGAGGCTGAGTGGAACAAGGAGAGTATCTGCACATGGGGGAGTCCCAGCACAAAATATCAAAGCCCAAGCAGGGTAAGGGGGGCATGTCTGTGAAAGGGTGGTCTGGAGTGGGGTGTCAGAGTCTGAGCAGGTTGAGAAAGGTATTCACATGGGTTGGGGACAATCCAGCATTTTGTGATAGCACAGCCTGAGGTATATAAGGAGGATACACACATGCATGCATACACGCTCACATGTACATTTCCCAAACTCTCGTCCAATGAGAGGAACTGGGAAATAATGAGTACGTATAGCCCTCATATAGCCTTCTTTTATGTCATTATTAATATGATTGAATTTATGACTGTCATTTTACTTTTTGTTTTTTTCTGACTCATGTTTTTTCTTTCTTTTTCTGCTTTATTGCCTTCATTTGTAAATGTTTTCAGTGTAGCATCTGAATTACTTTAAAGATTGTTCTCTACATTTATATTTATTTTCTTAGTGGTTAAGTGGACTTTCAGTATACAGCTTATTAGATCTACTTCAGATTTATACTAACTTAAAGACAGTGACATACAGAAATGTTATAGAGCTCTATATCCTCTTCTGCCTTTTTGTGTTATGATTCCTCACCAGCAAAATCTGCATTTCTTTACAGCACCCTTAGACTTGAACTTCCTCAGTCTCTATTCCAAATAAAGTCAGGGAGAGCTACACAGCTCTCTGTTCTTATGGCCTGACTCTCACCCTTTGCAGAACCTCTGTGCTACTGCTCCAGAGATGCGAGCAGGAACTTTTACTCTTGCAGTGCCACCCGTTACAAGCAAGACTCTAGGCTGGGAGGCAGGAGGGGATGGGGCATCGCTGGTCTTCTTGGTTTGTCTCTCACAGAATGGAACCTCTGCCCTACAGGGAAACTGGTGTGAAGATTATTGAAGCCTAGTATTCTCAGCTTACTATGCCTGGGGTAGAGTTTCTGTCCTATGCATGTGAGCTGTGTGGAGGAAGGGAGCCTCAGATCTCTCTTGCCTGGAAAAGAGCTTCTGCAACAGAGCTGGGAAGGATAAAGAACGCTGGTGGCCAACCCCTTCTGGGGAGAAATCATTGTCTTAAACTGAAATCTGGAAAAAGAGCAAGTCCCGTGTTATTAGCTACACCTACCTGGAATAGAATTCCCATTGCACTGAGCTGGGAAAGGTGGGAGGTAGGGAATAGTTCATGGTTCAAACGCCATAGACTCTAGCTGATCTTACCAAGATGTACCAGATTTTCTTGAATAAATGTTTCTCCATTTGCTGTAGGCTTTTAGAGCAATTTCTAGATACTTTAAATATTTGTTTTTTTAAAATAATTTTTACCAGTTATGGTTGTTTTGCTGATAGGCTCCATCGAGCTCCTCATGCCACCAATCTAGGAGTGCTTTTTCAAATAACTTATTTTTAGAGTGAATGAAACCTAGGGCTGTTCAGAGCATGGAAATAATAATGAATTCCCATTCTAGCTTTAACACTTTAAGTGTATTATTTAGCCTAAGTTTTTCCTTATTTATAACATGGGCACTTTATATACCTCTCAGATTGTGATGAGGATTGAAAGACTATTGAAATAGTGTTATATAAAGCACCTTGCATAGAAGTTGACTCATAGTAGACACTCAATAAATGTCACTTCTCTCCCCTTCAAGCAAATGACTGTCTCAGGCTGGATGGCTATTTTAGTGACTATCACAGTGTCTGGAATATGGTATTGTGCAATAAATGTTGAACTGGATTGAAGGATGGACAAATGAATGGATGATGGGTGGGTGGTGAGTGATTTCTAAGGTTCTAATTATTGATTTACCGATATAAAAAACCAGGGGTGATGTCCAAAATGTTTTAATGGTACATCCTGAGAAAACTAACTCAGAACTGATGCTGGCTCTCAGGAGTGGCTACATAATTAACAGAACACAGTAAAGAGTAAAATATGGGGCCCCTTCTTCAAAAATGATTAAAAATTTCAAGATGGTGACAGCAGATCATTAAACCATGGCTGAGGCCCTTCCAAGCATCCAAGAATAGGGCCCTGTGTAACTGCACAGAACACATACCCATGCAGCCATCCTCGCTCACTTTTGCCCAAGAGTAGGATCCTAAGGAACTCCTGATATAAAAGGTATTATTCCTTAGTTGCTGGGATAGCCCAGGGGAGGGGGGTTCAAAGTAAGGGGCTAGGGCAGCCCTAGGTGGCAGAAGACAGATGGCCAAGAGGGGGACCATGGCTTAAGGCACTCTGTATATACCAAGCATTTGGGAAATATTCAGTACCTTAAAACTCTATCATAATGCAAAACAAAAATGAGAGAGAGAGCGATTTCAAAAAATTCAATTTCAAAAAATTCAATTTCAGAAAATTTGGGGTCACATTACTTAAAGGTTAATAAACCTATACAGCTAGCAGGCCAGGAGTTCCAGGGGTCCTTTTGCAAGGTCCAGCTCTGTCCAGATTTGGTGCCACATGGTTGTTATAGCCAGTTTATTGGGGCAATTCTGGTAGGGACTGCTAAGTTTATGGCAGGGATTCCAGAAATCTTTGATTAGAAGAGCTTGCTATGCACGTTCTGAACAGGGGAATTGAAATACTAGGTCCCAAAGACCCACTCAGCCTCCAAGGATGGGATTGCCTGCGATTTCCCTGCCTAGCCATGACCTCTCCCTTCCACACTCCTTCTTCCTCCCCACAATCCCTTAACACACTAAGAACAACTTTAGCAAGCCCTGAATTGAGAGTAATTTGCCAAACATGTTATGTCTTAATTCATATTACCTTGGGGGTTTTAATGTTTAACAAGGATAGGTCTACTTAAGGAAATGGTGGTGCATCCTATCACTGATTACAAGTGATAGTAGAGGATGGTATTCTGGTTTACATCTCAGTTTTAGCTCTTGTTTCCCCTTTTAGAGATAGATGATCAGTGCCAATGATAGTCAAAGCTATAGTTACTCTGCCCATGGGCTTACCTCTCCATTATATTATTTTAGTCTTTTTCATTCTAGAATACTGCAATATATTAGTGTTTTTCAAATTGAACATGCAAATGAATCACCTGGGGATGTTGTTAAAATGCAGATTGCTAATTGTGTCTGGGTTGGGGTCCGAACTCTGCATTTCTTCTAATAAGCTCCCAGGTAATGCCCACTCTATTGGTCTGTGGACCACAGAGTAGAACCATTATGAATAATATTAGATATTGATCCAAATTAAAACTTGATTGTAATCTGTAGGTCATTATTCTCTAAATTTTAAAGTAACTGTCTATAACTAGGTTGACACGTCTTCTCCTAGAAGTCAACTGTCAATTAGTCTGAAGTTTGCATATACTTTGAAAGGCTTCTTACTGATTTCAGAGGCTTGTGCCTTTTGGTCTCTGAACTAAAAAAAAAAAAAAAAAATCACACCATCAGAAAGTAGGAAATACTGCCTGCCAACTAGTATAGGAAACTCTCAGGCTTGTATTGTGTAGTTTGTGACATCTGAATATTTCGAATATGATCTCTAGTCATTTCATTATTTTCAGCCTTTTAAGCACTGCATTCTTCCCACCTTTTGATGAAACGTGAAGCACACATTTAGACTATGAATGTATTTAAAACTTCTTGCTTCTTATTAATCCTCTCCACAGGTTATTTTTAAAGCCAAACAACCTTATTCATGGTGAATAATTTCATCCCAAGTGCAATGTTAAAAAAAACTAGAATCTCATCTTCCAAGATTTGACAATATCTCTATGGCTCAGTGAAAGTCACAAAATCACATTGCTTTATGAATACATCACAGATTAGATTCTGACCCCTCCCTTGAATTTTCTACATGCAGCACTCTCATCTTGGATTGAGGAATGTTAAAGAGAAAAACCACAGGCCCAAAAAGGCATAACTTGTGCTAAAGCCCATGATACCAAACCTAGATTTAACAACTAACCTAACTGAAGTTTTGACCTTCCCCAGAAATGTAATCTTAATCAACCAGCCTGGAATTTTCTGGTCAGCACCAATGAGGTCATCTGCCACATGGGCCCTCTACATCCCCTAAGAGGAAGAAGAGGCAATCTGCATGATAAAACCCTTTCCTTTCCCTTCCCCCTCAGAAAAGATGTCTTGGTCTAAAAATAATCTTTTCTTTTTTCTTTTGCTAATAGGACCTTGTCCCATCCTTCTTCCTATAAAAACCTTTTATTTTGTACAACCCCTCAGAGCACCCTTCTACTTGCTAGATGGGATACTGCCTGATTCACAATCATCTAATAAAGCCAATTAGATTGTCAATTTAATTGGTTGAACTTTGTTTTTTAACAAGAAAAAAATCTGTTAATAGGATTCAGATAATTTGCTACTAGTTGAGGATTTTAATAATCTAATGCTTATTTAAATACAACAATGCTTTCAAGATAAGATTTATTCAACATTTGGGGAAAAAATTCAGTTTGATAAGGCTCTTGTTTAACATTTGGCCATAACCCTGGAATTTACTGAGTCAGCACTGTATCACCTGATTAGAAGAAGCTTCTTTTTTGGTATGAAAAATCTGAAATTAAGAAAGAGCTCCATTATTAACAGTCATTAATAACACAAACTATTTCACTTAGATTAATAACTCAGAGAAAGAGACAAAAAAGCATTCAGCAGAGAAATAAAGCAAAACATTTCACACACATTCACAGTTCTCTTTATCTTTAAAAGACCTGGCATTAAGATATTTTTTTTCTCCAAGTCACACTTCCTCCTTAAAGCTCACCAACCCATAGTGGTCCCTCCATCTTCTGAAATTCTATAGCATTATCTGTATAACTCAAAAAGCAATCAGATAAAATCAGCTCATAATGAAGGTTATATTTTTTTGTATAGATTCTAGCTCCTCCAACTAGAGTGTGAGCTCTTGGAGGGTACGCACCAAGTTTTTTTAATCTTTGTGATCTTTTGCCTGTGGCACACTAGTAGTATATCTCAGTCTATGTCCATTTTAAGTCACTCTTTCCTTTCCCCAATCCTGCTTTTCTCCTGTAATTCTCATATTTTTCCTTTATCTAGAGGTAAATAGTGTTTCATGTTCTACAACATTATTCTTATATTCCATTCAAAAGTAAATCCACCCCAAAACGTAGCTTTTTAGGGTTGATTTTTTAAATTACTGTACTTTCCCTGAAGACATTATCATAGTCTACACAACATCAATGAACACTCACAGTGTACAGGCAAAATTATAAAATGTAGGCCCATCAGTTCTAAATGCAAAATATTTTTTATCTACTATCTCAGACTAAACATTGTAATGTCACACAACTTACCGTTTTCAGCAAACTTTTTTGCTTATACAAAATAAGGCAAGTTATTAACAAAACAAGTAATGAGACAAAAGCCAATGGTATCATGAAAAATATTAAGGTTTCCTTCCATGTGTTACCTAGGATTAAAATCACCAAAAAGGAGGAAGGGTTAGATGTGTACAATTATTTTAAAAACTGAATTATTTTATAAGTAAACTAGTAAATGGTGAAGAACTGAGTCAAACTTGGCAACTTCTGCCATATTTGCCAGTACCTAGATACCATAGTGATGCTTGAGAACAGCATTCCTTTCATTTGTGCACTTTTTTGCTGTACTACTTTACTGAACTGTGACAGCTCTTTATTTTGCTTAGAAAAATAACTACCTAAAGCCCCATTCTTATTTTCTTATATGATTTTGTTTAAAATTTGACCTTGCGAATTTTTCATAATAACAAAACAATAAAACATTAGCCAAGTGATTAGATAAACATGTCTTGTGTATGTATCTCTTAACTCTCAATAACTCAAATGTTTACATTATATCATACAATGATGTAGTGAGTGAAAGCAGGTCTTCAATAAAAGCCTCAGTGCAAATAATGGAGCTAGTCTTTAAAGGTCATGTTTTTAAAGTTGCCTCACATTCTGGATCCTAAAGACATGAGGTTTTTCTCTTCTTTTTTTTCTTTTCTTTTTTTAGGGATGAAGTTTTAATGGTTTGTCTGCATAGCAAGAAATGAGCAATCACTAGATAAACTTAAAAAGTACACAAAGCTTGTCCTTCTAAAACTAGTATCTCCCACATGTTTTGAAATACTATGGAACACTTTGAATCCTAGGCCTATATCTATACTCAAACCTACCTCCAACCCCACATTTTTCTTTGTCCTATTCCCTTGGGATCTTATTTTCTACTAGAAAATTACCAAATTCATAGGCTCAGTTCAGTTAAGAATTGCAACGATATAATCCAGAGAAATGACTAATAACGTAAGTTTTTTGGCATGCAAAATTAACAGTGGGAAAACAGGCTTCTTTTGTGAAGTTTCAGTAGAGTTAATCTTATAGTCATTTCCAAAAAAAATTATTGTGCTATTTTTCTATAACTTAAAACATCCAATAAGAAATGTCCAAAAGAACTAAAGACCACATGCATCTCAGGAAAGTCGTTGTTCCTAATCTGAAATTTATTAAGAGTCTACCAAGAGATACCCATCAGGGCAAAAGAAATCTGTCATAAATAACATGGTTAAGTGTATATTTAAAAAAATTAAAAAAACAAAAACAAAAAACAAAAAAAACCATTGTAAATCAACTATTCTTCAATTTAAAAAAAAAGATTGCATATAAAATACATAAAAGGATGTATATTTTGAGGATATGCCTAAAAACTCACCATATCTACTTTAAACCATGCACTGAATAATAACAAGATATAATTCAGGGCATGACTTTCTCAATGTCAGTTCCACAGAGTCTCCAGATTTTTTATATTAGTGACAAAAATGAAAAACAGTACAAGTAAGTATTCTTTCTGATTCCATATATCTTTAGTTAATTGAGTTCTTCCTCTCTCTTCCTATTTTTTCTCCATGGCCCTGATTATATGATATATTTGGCTTCTTTATTTATTGTCTATCTCTACTCAACTTGGGAATAAAATATAAATTCCATGAGGACAAGGATTTTTTTTTTACTGCTATATCTCCAGTGCCTGAAAGAGTCTGACACATAGTAAGTGCTTAATAAATATTTCGTGTATGAAAGAGAACAATGATACCACTATATTAATAGGGAGATTACAGTCAAACACAAATTCTATTATAATGGAACAACATAAAAGGAGATGATTGATAGAAATGCCATTATGTTTGCATCTATATCTGTATATGTATTTATATACCTTTATGTGAAAGAACAATGCTGAGTTAATCTCCTTCAATTTCAAACAACTATTAATATTTTCTATTGATAAAGCCAGTATACTGTGAAGTACAATAATATTTTGCCTCATTCTCAAGATTTTTTAGTTTATATTGCTATTTTTTGTCTTCTATGAAAGTTTATTTTCTTTTTTTAATTTTTAATTTTATATTGGAGTCTAGTTGATTAACAATGTTGTATTAGTTTCAGGTGTACAGCAAAGTGATTCAGTTATACATATACATGTATCTATTCTTTTTCAAATTCTTTTCCCATTTAGGTTATTACAGAGTACTGAGCAGAGTTCCCTGTGCTATACAGTAGGTCCTCGTTGGTTATCTATTTTAAATATAGCAGTGTGTACACGTCAATCCCAAATATATTTAATTTAAACATGTCTTTTATCATAAGTCACTTTAAATCAGTGTTGGAAGTGAACGGAATGTTCATTTTACTAATGATGACATATTAATTAGAAAAATATTCATTAGGCACAGTACCAGACACTCAAAAACAAGTGTATGCTACCTATCCTTGCTTTAAGATTTGTTCTCTTGAAAATTGAAAGCATAGGAAAATATTGATTACAATAGGCTTCCCCGCAAAGAACTAGCATATTCTCTTTACTGACAGTCAGAAAAACAAGATGTTGATGACTGAACTATAACAAGACTCTTAAACTAGTTAAAACTGAACATTAGATTTTCCATAAATCTATGTTCGATTGTGGTGATTGCTAATTTATCTTCTCTGTTTATAGACTATATGCAAGAGTATTTTGACTTCCATAATTACAAAATACACTGAGAGAAAATTATTTTGCTAGCCAATAGTTAGCAAAATAGTTTAGTTACTGTTCTTTTTTTAAATATATTTTCTTCAATAACCATGTCAACATATTTTATGATTGTTCCTTCTTTCTAAAATTGTGTAAATGGATTCCTTTAACTCTCAATAGGGAAAAGGCACAGACTATAAAAAATTTGAATAATGAGCACATAGTTTTTCAAACCATATAAAGAAGGCACACAATAATGTCAAGATTCTGATAAAGTACATATATACTTGTAAGTAAAACTTCAGAGTAAATGTACGACTACAATTGGTACTAATACATGCAGATTTGGTTAACATCTAGTTAGTATATAAGAAGCTCGAGAATAGTGCCACCATACTTTGGAGCTAAGACTACCACTGGAAAGTAATCCACTAGTAAAATCAAGGCAAAACAGGTAAGATTAGTTTGTCAAATGCAAGTAGGAAGAATCAAACAGAATCTATTAACTCTTGGAATGTGGAAAAGATACAGCTCAATTAATGTTATAGACATCTATAAAAATATGGAATATAGCCAATATTTTATAATAACTATAAATGGAGTATATATAACCTTTAAAAATTGTGAATCACTATATTGTACACCTATAACTCATACTTCAATAAAAAAATAATGAAGATTTGACCCTATGACCTTCATAACCAGTGTCACTGAACTGTAGTGACCTATGACATCCAGTAAGGCATCTTCTTCCTCAAACAGTGCTAGAAATACTCTAGTTACTGTTATTTTATCTTATACCTTTCCAGCATTGTTCATCACTCCACTCACTCCATATTCCATCATCTGAGCAATAAATATTTACTTTGCTCCTTACTAAAAAGCATAATTCGTGGCTTTCATTTGATGTTCTTGTGATGTTTATTTCATTTTCAACTGTGGTAGTCTGAAAGCCAAGGTAAAAATGAGATATCATTATTTGATCTAACTGCAGCTAGCCACACCCCATTTGATTTGTCATTTTCTAAGTGGGTTTTGTTACATGAAAGAAATGCATCAAATGACTAGAAAGGTATATACCAAAATCCTAACAGTGGTTATCTCTCTGTATGGTGTTTTATTTTTCATTTTTCTTCTTTATTTATATTTAAATTTTTTTCTATAGTGATAATGGATTACTAGTAGTAAAGGGCATGTGTGACAGGGCAAAATTCCTAGGTAGTTTTGGTGCTTATGACACCCATTTTGGATTAGTGTCAAATTTCCCAGATTCCATAAATTGGAAAATGCTATATATACTGAGTTAGCAAAAAGAGTCATCATGTGAATGTTGTTTCTATGGAAACTGTAGAGTTCGTATACACAAAGCTTCTTTTTTCCCTTATTCTTATTTTGGTTAATCATCATAAGACCAGTGTAATAGTGCTCAGGGCTTGGCATGAAACTACCCCTTCCAATATGAGAATACACAAGGCTGGATGATCTCAAAACAACCAAAAGAAAAAAAATCACTGAAGTGATTACTTAAATTTTGCATCTCAAAGAGCTGAAGAGTGTTTCTCATCCAAAATACCAGCTTTTCTTTTGTTGTAACTTTTCTTGGGAGACAGCACAATGTAATGTAGGTTAAAGTGGACTGGGAATAAGATCTGGATTCTAGTTCTAGCTGTGTAATTTGATTGTAAGTCAACTCACTTCCTTGGGACTTGTAAATATATTCAACTCCCAGTTTTCTCATCTGTAAGTGAAATGAATTGATTAGAAATAATGGCTCACCTACTTGTCTCCACCACTCCCTAAGTTGGAAACCAATGAATAAAATTAACATATAACGCAGTGGGGCTAAAGGCATCATCACATTGCTGGCGCTGGGGGGTAATCAGTCTTGGAACCATGGCTTACTTCCCCAGTTAGCCTCTCTTCCCTGCTACAAGCAATTCTCTGGTAGCCCTGCCAGGCTCTATTCTGATTTTGATCTGATAGTTGCTCCTCAAGAAGTGGTTTTTATGTTTGTCTGTGCTTCTTGCTTTGTGTTCTTTTTACATGAGGCCTCTTCGCAATCCGTCTTATGCATGTGCTTGACAACTTTAATTTTTTGACATAATATTGGAAACAAGTGACTAGATTATCTCTAAGGACCTATGTAGCTTTAAAATTGGTATAATTGATTGATAATACTTTCAGACTGCAAGCATCTTTCTTTTGTCCACTAGATTATTTGATTATTTGGTTTTCTGGAAGTTAAACTAAGGTACATGTCATGTTCTATTCTTCATGTGGATAGCAACTGATTTTGGTTCTTATGTTTGCCATTTTATTTAAAAGGCTATGTTCATGATTTTCTCAAATAAACGCAATATCCATACCACCCAGGCAGTATCATCTTCTATGAATTCAATTTCATAAATGAAACACTTTGCTGGAATAGGTCCTTTGGGAATGCTCCACTTCAGGTTAATTTCCTCTGAATTCTTCACAGTAAGACTAAGGTCGTCTGGTGGCAAAGGTTTAACTGAAAAGCAGAAGGAAATAATTTCAACATGGAGGTTATTAAAGTTTAGCAGTGGCCCTTATCAAAAGCTAGGGACACTTACTAACAGAAGCCTCCAGGATAAATTAGGTGGCTCAAGACTATTCACTATAATGAGAATTAAAATCAAAGCTGCTTGCCAACCAAGATTAGTTTATTAAGAAACCTGGTTATTTGGGGAACTCATTTTTTGATAAGTCACATATTGACAAATATTTAAGTCCAAGAGAAAAGTTAGATGATCCAAATCATTACAGTCATTTTTCCATTTTATAACACTAGAAACAACTACCACAACATATTACTACTACTATTTTTATTAATAGCTAATTCTTATTTAGAGCTTATGATGTGTCAGGCAGTGAACCAGGAATGTTACATCATAAACTTATTCATGTCTCACAATAAATCTATGAGGTGGTCCTCTATTATCCTCATTTTACTGATAAGGGAATTGAAACACGTTAAAAGTAACTCGCCCAAAGTCATACAGCTAGAAAGTGGTAAATTCAAGATTCAGACCCAGGTATGGCTGACCCTAGAACCTGTCATTCTCATAACTGTTAGGACTGAGAACACAAACTCAGAAAATATCCACCCATTTGCCTATTGAGGCCTGGAATAAGTGATTCCATAATTACTCCATCACCAACACTGGACAAAAATACTTTATAGCAGGGGCTTCCCTGGTGGCGCAGTGGTTGAGAGTCCGCCTGCCGATGCAGGGGACACGGGTTCGTGCCCCGGTCTGGGAAGATCCCACATGCCGCGGAGCAGCTGGGCCCGTGAGCCATGGCCGCTGAGCCTGCGCGTCGGGAGCCTGTGCTCCACAACGGGAGAGGCTACAACAGTGAGAGGTCCACGTACCACAAAAAAAAAAAAAAAAAAAAAACTTTATAGCAGAGAGACTCAAGCTGGGAAACAAATTGTGAGTTCTAAATGAAAATGATACTTTATACTCATTCAATTCCTTATCTTCCATACTTTCATATTTAATCAGTGCTTCCTCATACTCTGTTGGCCCCCAGTTTTCTGGCTTTGCATTTCTGTAGGTATCTCCTTTATCTCTATCTCTATCTCTTCTCTTCCACATGGTCAATTGTAAATGGCCTAAACTGGAAACATTCTGAAGTTGTTTGTTTACCTCACCTATATTTTGAAGGTGAAAAATGAAATAGCTGGGTCTGATAACTTGGGATTCTGATGATCCATTAACACAGATGTAGAAATCTTTACAGTCTGATGACTCCAAGTAGGGAAATATGCATCCAATATTTTTTCCGTTAGCCTTGATGTAATCAGCACACTGTAACACATGGTCCAAGCCCTCATACCTGTAAAAAGAAGTGTTGTAAGAACTGTGTTTACCAATATCTTCTAGTAGCATGGTATTCAATTTTCAATTATTGTAAGATACTAGGTAAATAAAAAAATCATTTAATAACATACAATACTCATTGAGCACCGACTATGTGCCAGATCCTATGATAAGTGCTAGGGCTACAATAGTAAGGAAAGTAGAGACAGGCCATGATTTTACAGAGCTTACAATCTGGTGGGAGTCTTTATAAAATCTCAGATATAAGGCAAGAATTCTTACTCATATACTTGGGTTATGTTGACTCATGAACAGGATTTGAGAATCAAAGAATAAGATTCCTATTAAGAAAATATGGGGTTTATATTGATAATCCTAAACGATACTGCTTTTTTTCTATTGTACTGGAGAACTTATTAGAAGAAAACAGATTTTTTAATAAGAAAACAGATTTAAAAGCAGACTTACAAGATGGCCAAAAAGCACATGCAAAGATGCTCAACATCGCTAATTATTAGAGAAATGCAAATCAAAACTACAATGAGGTATCACCCCACACTACTCAGAATGGCCATCATCAAAATGTCTACAAACAATAAATGCTGGAGAGGGTGTGGAGTAAAGGGAACCCTCCCACACTGTTGGTAGGAATGTAAATTGGTACAACCACTATGGAAAACAGTATGGAGGTTCTTTAAAAAACTAAAAATAGAACTACCATATGATCCAGCAATCCCACTCCAGGCATATAGCTGGAGAAAACTAATTCAAAAAGATACATGCACTCCAATGTTCACAGCAGCACTATTTACAGTAGCCAAGACATGGAAGCAACCTAAATGTCCATCAACAGAGGAATGGATAAAGAAGATGTGGTACATATATACAATGGAATATTACTCAGTCATAAAAAAAAAGAATGAAATAATGCCATTTGCAGCAACATGGATGGACCTGGAGATTATCATACTAAGTGAAGTAAGTCAGAAAGAGAAAGACAAATATCATATGATATCACTTATATGTGGAATCTAAAAAAATGATACAAATGAACTTATTTACAAAACAGAAACAGACTCACAGACTTCAAAAACAAACTTATGGTTACCAAAGGGGGAAGGGATAAATTAGGAGTTTGGGATTAACATATGCACACTACTATATATAAAATAGAAAATCAACAATTACCTACTATATAGCACAGGGAACTCTACTCAATATTCTGTAATAACTTATATGGAAAAAGAGTCTGAAAAGGAACGGATATATGTATATGTATAACTGAATCACTTTGCTGTACACTTGAAACTAACACAACATTGTAAATCAACTATACTCCAATATAAAACAAAAATTAAATATAAAAGATATATAAAATTTTTAAAATTTAAGAGAAAATTTTTTGATAAAAAATAAAAGCAGACTTACAAAATATCATTATGTTTAATAAAATGAATTAAAATCCTCTGAGGATATAATACACATCAAGAGATAAACCTCAGAAAAGCCAACAGGGGCTCAAAAAGAAAAAGAGGAGTTGTTTGGCAAGTAAATATCTAACTTCCCATTCTCCTAGGCAAGAAATGTTGCCATATCATTGAAAGTTAACCTCTTTTCAGTAATAAAGCTAATGGGAATTAGGGGAGAATTTCCCTACTGATTTCCAAAGGAACAAATGCCTGGTTTATTTTCCTAAAGAATAACTTGTAATACAAATTGACATTATCTTAAAAGCAGCCAAAATTCCGTTTGCAATGAGGCTAATCTAGCAGCTGATAAGGTGCTGGTACAAATATCAGGACTCTACTGAATTCACTTTATGCCAAGTATTTATTTTAGGCCAAGTCTGCAAAATTGTACTCTCTGGTTTAGTTCACCTGGTTAGAGTTTGGGATATTTGCCTTCTAGGCTGGACTTTACATAATTTACTTTATGCCAGTGGAAAGCCTCACGGTACCCTTATTTTCCAGTCTCTAAAATGTCAATATTTATTCCTCTCTACTTTACTAAGGTGAGGATAAAGTTATGTTAAACATGAGCTACAATGAACAAGAGGGCAGGGACTTTGCCTTATTCATACTTCCTTTTATCTAGAACAATGCCTGGCATTTAATAATTGCTTAATATTTATTGAATTTATTTAATTAACAAATAAATTAGAACGTAGAAATTGACCCATCCAACTCCAGATGAGGAAACTGAGACCCCAAAACAAGAAATTGTTTGCCCGAGACCACTAAGTTAAGTGATGCCATAATATGGATTAGAACCCAGTACTCAGGAGATTGTTAATAGCTTATACCTTATTGCTTATACATTGTAATTTTCTAAAGAAAAACACCATGATAATTTGTGCCTGAGACTCAACAAAGAGTAATGCTTTGTCCTCTCTTGTTTTCTCTGTTATTTAAAAATGCATAAGTTCTGATACTTGTCTATCAACTTACCGATGTTATTATCATCATTTGGTTCATTCATTTAATGACTATTTAGCGATAATCTACTATGGGCATAGCACAGCAGAGACGGTCAAGAGAAGTATCAGAAATAGTTTGTGCCCACCAATCTCTTAAAAATTTAAGAGAGGAAGGAGACAAAAATTTAAAGGTCATCTAGACAATAAGTAGTTAAGAACTATAATAAGTAATAGTTCAGAGAAAAACTGAACGGAAGCTAATGTGAGCAGTAAAGGGTTAATGAAATTGAATACCAGCTGGGTCTTGAAGGATGGATAAGGGTTAGTGAAAGAGAGAGTCAGATGGTATTCTAGGTACCAATGCACACAAAGGCATAAAAGATCAATCATAACATGGATAGAAAAATATGTAGAGATGGGTCTAAATGGAGCAGAACATTCACATTGGTGGTAGTAGAAGGTAATGTTGGAAAGGCAGTGATGCAGTGAGGCAGAGACTTGAATGGCCTAGACTTTATCCTGGAGGCAATGAGTAGCCACGGCAAGTTTTTGAGCAAAAGAATGGCATATGAAAATAGAAGAATAGGAAGATAAATCTGGCTACAGTGTGCAGAATGAATAGGAAGGGGAGAGACTAGAAGCAGAGAGACCATCATTTGGGAGGCTATGGCAATCATCCAGGTGTGGAACGAGATAAGCCTGAAGAAGAGTTCTTACAGTAGAAATGGGAAGTAAAGAACAGATGTGAGACCTTGCAAAGCAGTGTCATTGTTGATTATGGTGATTAATGTTACCATGAAAAAATTAAGGAATGAAGGAGATAGAAGATTCAAGATGGTTGTAAGTTTAAAAGCCTTAGTGACAGTTAACAAACGTAGGGAAGTCAGAAAAAGGATCAAAAGGCAAGAATATGAAATATGCCAAAACTTTTTAGGTCATAACTCCATCTATCTAAAAGATACAAAATATTTAATCCAGTACAGAAACAATGACTGCATTCCTTATTATCGCCCATAGAGTGCCTTCTAGTAGCTACAGCCTAAACCTACTTACTCCCATTGAAAATCCCAAATAATTGTAAATAAACTTCATCATAAATACAACTCTGAAAAGATATAATGAATTTAATTTAATGAAAATACAGTTACTCATACTGTGAATTAATTTTGATAGATATCTTCCTAATATGGAATTCTTATTATAAAAATACTTACCAATAAAACAAGTTGTAATTGGTATCAGAATGGACACACATGCCAGGTTTCCAAGAGCAAAGTAAATGTTGCCGGTTGTAATATACACAATCCATATCCTGAATTTTAGTTTCCAGATTTCCTAAGAAATGAAAAAACTGTGAATGCTTGAAAGACATGACGATGACTCATATGGGAAATAACTATGCAATTTTATTTCATTTCCTTTGACCTCTCCACTTGATTTAGCAATCAACATAATCAGGAATATTCCAAAAGGAAGTTGTTGCAAATCACTTCACTGTAAGTGGGACATGAAAAATCAAAAACTTTTGAGGGCTTATTTACTGGTACTAGTGTAAGCATATGCAAAAGTACTAAATTAATAATTCTAGGATGCTCTGAGCAGTTGCATAAATAGTCACATGCATATTTACTAATATGAGCCCCAAACTGGGAACTATATTAACCTAATAAGATGTAGGTTTTGCCACATGTGTTTGCTGATATAAAGAATTCAAAAAGGCCAGTCACCCACTCCTAAGAAGGATTCTCTTGTGCAACATTCTCAATTGTACATGTAATCTGATGTATAAAGGTTAAGGGACTTACTTCCCATATAGATTGTTCTGAAAGTATTAAATATGAAAAGAGAGCTTTGTTTTAACCTTGTGGTGATATCCAATAAGTAGCTTCTGACCATGAACTTTGAACTTCTGATCCATTTGTGCATTGCCCTAGCAGAAGTGTGTGTATCTTTGCTTCAACACCTTTGTTAAGATCAAACCCATCTTTGTAATGTAGATTCTTAGTAATGATGGTCTGTTTGATAAAAAGATGAGACAAAGTTAAGCTTAAAACAATAATGGTATCATGAGCCACATTAATAAGGCTAAAAAGTCATTAACACCCTGGAGAGTTCCCAATATCTAAGAAATTCCTGATGATTATCTGATAAAATGTCCCAGATATATTTCTGGCAGAGTTCACTTCTGCATATTATATCATTTGATGAGATCATTTGAATCTTAGCATCTCATTAAAAAAAATTCTGGAAAAAAAAAAAGGCTCTATGGGAGGAACTTTTGAGCTATAACCGTCAAGTTGAAATTGAGAGAGAATTTTCATGTACCATATGCCTATTACATGACAATTTATCACATTTCAAATATCATATGAACTCTTCAGGAATCATATAAAATCTTGGAGGTAACTGAAGAAAGCCAGACAAAGTGCGACCTCCTGAAGGACTAAAATCATGTATCATTTATCCTTCTATTACCGATACCTAGCTAGTGGAGTGTTTGGAGAAAAAAGTTGCACAATGAATGTTTGATTTGAATTGTCCCTTGAAACTACCTAGCTGAATTAGGAAGGTAACAGAATGCCTTGTACAACCAAAATCTTTGAATAAACATGCTTGTTGACTATGTAAATAGTTAATTCAGTAAACCTTCACTGAGCACTTAATACAATATATGCACAGAACCATGCTGTGTTCTGTAGGGAGAGTACAAAGATAAATAAGGCTTGATTCCTACAGAGCAAAAGCTCACATAGCCCAGTAGCATATATAAGACCCATATACAGGTATATAAGTAACTCTGAAATATGGTAAAATGTGTAAGTACTCTTCAAGTCCGTATTCTATGGGACCAAGTTTTCTTTTTTCCTGTATTTCCAATGGTAGACTTAATACTGGGTGGGGTGAAAACAGATGTTGCAGGATGCACAGGAGATAGCAGCAGGCATGCAGCTTATTATTATTTTTTTCTTAAGAACTTTTATTCCATGATACAATACTTTAATGAGTCATAAATCAATCAAAAGCTGATTTAATGCAATGGACATTGTAATTACTATTTCAGAAATAACTGAAATGTCCACTCTTTTCCAATACAAATAAAAGAATTGCCATTTTATGCCTAGATAACTCAGGAGGAAAATGTGGTGAAACTGTGAAGAATATTCTTTTTTTTTTTTTTTATTGGAGTATAGTTGCTTTACACTGCTGTGTCAGTTTCTGCTGTACAGCAAAGTTATTCAGCTGTATACGTATACCCCCTCTTTTCTGGATTTCCTTCCCATTTAGGTCACCACAGAGCAGCGAGTTAGAGTTCCCTGTGCTATACAGTAGGTTCTCATTAGCATGCAGCTTATATCTTAATAATAGCTATTGAGATACAGGAATAAAAGTAGACACTGACATCAGGAATCACAAGAAAACTAATAATCATTCCAATATCTTAAGTGCATGCTTTACTTACCTTCCAGCTTGCACTACCAATGTTTCGATACTTTAATTCATATTCTACTGTGCATTCCTTAAAGTTATCCAGAGACAGTGGAGGTTGCCATTGCAAATAGAGATAGCCTAAATATCCAGGATCCACTATTTCAAAATCCTGAGGAGGATTAACTGAAAAAAATCAATAAGATATTTTAATTTTTATCCTGTATCTTATGACAAAGATTGCTAAATCTAGATTACTTCCATATGTCCATCAACTGATGAATGGATAAACTGTGATATATCCATACAATGGAATATTATCCAGCCATAAGAAAGAATGAAATACTGATACATGCTACATGAATGAACCTTGAAAACATTAAGCTAAGTGAAAGAAGCCAGCCACAAAAGACCACATATTGTATGATTCCATTTATGTGAAATATCAGAATAGACAAATCCATAGGGACAGAAAATCGATTAGTGGTTGCCAGGGGCTGGAGGGAGGGGAGAATGAGATGTGACTACTGAATGGATTTGGGGTTTCTTTTGGTGGTAATGTAACTATTCTGGAATTTGATAGTTGTGGCTGTTACACAACTTTGTGAATATACTAAAAACCACTGCCCAGTATACTTTAAAAGGGTAAGTTTTATATCCTTTAAATTGTATCTCAATAAAGCTGTTTTTAAAAATCTAGGTTACTGCTACATAGTTGTCCCTTCTTTAAGGAATTGCATATGTAAAATGTGACTTAGCCAAGCTAGGTAATAAGTTTTCATGGAAATAAGAAATTCAACATGGAGTTATCTCTGTGGTCATATAGACAAGAATTTAGTCTAGGATGGGAACACTTTATTACCTAAATCTCTCTCATAGCAAGAATCAGTCAGTATTAATCCTGTGTTTACCATATGTAAATAACATCATGGCCCACACGAAAAAAGGGATAGAAAATATAAAATATGACTACTATGGCTAAGCGCCTTAAGAATTAGGAGAACAGGCAGATCTTGTTGGTCCATTCAGGATAATTGAATCCTCTAGTCAACTGAAGTTCAGAGGTATTTGTAGAACATGGCAAACCAGAGCCACTCTTTGGAAGGGCTCAAGAAAAAGTGGCAGGCAGCTGAGTAGAGTGACAGGAAACAGCCTGTTTTATTTTGAGGGGGTGGGGGCAGTGGGAGGCAATGGCTCCCTCATCTGGTGATTTAAAAAGCAATAAAAACAAACAAATTATTCTATAAACTTACTAAACCTACTAGCAAATCTAGTACTATAGTACTGTCCTCATGTTGCCTTTCTGCTAACAATTTCCTCTCATTTCTGCCCTGTTGTTCATTTTAATACTTCACTTCATATTACTTGTTGAGGTGAGGAAAAGAATCAACAGAAAGAAACGGTGGCACAAATAATGATTTGAAATGGGACCTGCATGAACCAATAAAGAAGGTTTCTATTGAGGATGAAATGACAATACTATTGTTTCAACTTTTATGATTAGAAATCTTTGTTAAATGCATTGTTCTAATTACCTTCTGCAATGAAAAGTTCATTAGACATGATTTAATAATTCTGTAATTATTTTAAAATTTTATTTTAAATCTCTGTATTTTGAAAATTTATCTAATTGTCTTAAAAGTTAAGGATAGTAATAAAGGAAAGTTTTCAGTTAGTTGGGTACCAGGCAATGAGGTTTCGGATAATTAACTTCTTTGTTAGAAAAGACTACACAGAAAGGTATGGAAAGTGTCTTTTAGTTTGGCTTTTATCCCACAAAATGTTTATTATCATCAGTTACCTTATACATGAGGCTGACTAGTAAGAACATATCTTTTGTGTATGGACTCCCTGAAATATTTCCAATAACAAGCCATCTACTTGTTATGCACTTTTCATAGGGTAGGTTGAAAAGGCAGTTAATATCCCTAATTTTAAAACTACTCCATTCTTGGTTTACCTTTTATCTCAGCATTTGAAGACAAAGTAGAGCCGAATGCTGTGCAAAGAAGAAGGGTATACAGGCATCTGATATCCAAATGAATGAAAGCCATTTCTCCAAGATTTAATACCTTCAAATTTCTACTCTAAGAAGGAAAAATATAGCAGTTTAACTTTATCATACCTCAAAAAGGACTAAATGTGACTAAAAATACATTTGGGAACTCTCTGTGTGCTTTCTATCAAGACTTGTGAAAACTGTGCCCCTTTGAACCATTTAAACAGAAAAAAAATCAAGTTTGGAACCAAAATAATTGGAAAGGAGGATTTTAGTCTCATTCTTCTTATGAGAGCAAAAAAAAAAAGCAAAACAAACAAACATATCCCTTCAACCCCCACCCCCGCCACACACACACACACACACACGCACACACACACACACACACACACTTTTCTACACATCATATGCTATGACCAGGATTTGAAAGTTATCTGAATAATGACAAAGCTCAGAATCTACACCAAAACCTCAGATAACTCAGAACTTTGCTTCATTTCTTCTTAAATATTAAAATCATCATCATCTTCTACTCTCCTATCCGTTCTACTCTTCCCTGTTATTTCCTATATCAGTAAATGGCACCATCATCTTCCCAGTTGCCCAAAGCAGAAACCTGAGAGTTTGCCTCAACTCCTGCCTCTCCCATCCAATCTCCCCTTCCTAAATTGAGGATCTCATCATCAGGGGTCTCCTTATCCAGTTTTTCCTGTCTCCAAACCATTTTCACACCACATACAGTAAGGACAAATCTGAATTTACCACCTCTTTCTTAAAAGAGCACTTCACTGTCACAGAATACAATTTATTCATCTTTTTATTATTGAAGAATAATAGTTTATGATTGAAACTAAAAGGATTCATGTCTCCACATATCCATTCAATCAAAAAATACTCTCCCTTCAATGAAACATCACTACTTGCAGTTCTACACTTCTCTTTGAGTCTATATTCCTAAAACCAACAATTTCACAGGAAGTTAAGCATTAAAGGTCACTTACCCCAACAGTCAGGGATTACCTTTCTTTTCTCCTACATAAATTAATTAAGCAGGACAGACCCTCTCTCCCTGCTCCACCCTCTTCATCTTACCTGTTCCATTTGTAGTGTTCTCATGTTGGTAGGCTTCGATTATTACATAATGGAACCTTGGGAACAAACTGTTAGAGCCAGCAAGTATATTGGAGGCAATGCTAGTCCAATCCTCCTTCATATATTGGGAAGTAAAACTCAGACTTACCCAAGATTACACAGCAAGTTAGTAACAGAGCTGGAAGTAGAACAGAGATGAGATTCCCAGTCTAGTGCACTTCCACCTTACTATGCTGGATCCCACACGTTTGACTCAGGATTATGAAAGCTTTTCCTCTGAGACTCCAGCATTTAAGTCTTCCTTCAATTAGCTAGCCAGGCTGAATCAACACGATGCTGTTTCTTTTTCTATGTCTCATAAACTCATAAGGGGATGCCATTTCTCTTACTGAGGTCCAGTGAATCTCTCTCCTCAATTCCTCCCTCCCCACCACCAGCCCACTGCTGCCTTCTAAGGCATCTGTAAATAGTAAGTAGGTTTCGTCAACAGAAAGCCATATTTCTGCCATAGAGCTGCTTTTACAGATTGAGGTGAACAGACGGGTTACTTTTGGATCCAAGGCAATAGGTCTGACAAAGAGAAATCCTTTCATATTACCTATAAAGACTAAGACAATCAGGCTTCCCTTAAAATGCTCTCAGAGAGATCTTTTTTTTTTTAATAACTATTTTATTTTAATTTTGGCTGCATCGGGTCTTAGTTGCAGCACGCGGGCTCCTTGTTGCAGCACGTGGCTTCTCTCTAGTTGTGGGCTGCGAACTCAGTAGTTGCAGCACGTGGGCTTAGTGGGCATGTGGGATCTTAGTTCCCCGACCAGGGATGGAACCCACGTCCCCTGCATTGGAAGGAGGATTCTTAACCACTGGACCACCAGGGAAGTCCCTCTCAGAGAGATCTTAAAGTTCTTTCCTTAAATATTTCATAGCCCTGTGTCATGTACAGCATAAATGCTAAGAGTTAAAAATACCTTGCTTCTATTCTATTTATAGGCTACTGAAATTTGATTCAGGCTATCAAATAGCACTTCCTGGATTAGCCAAATACATTAAGCAAAGGTAGGAAATGGGATAGCTGGCTTCCTGAATCACTTACCTAGAAATCCACAAAAGGAATTCCTGAATCAACCTTAGTGTCCCACCTAGACTTTCTTACCCAAATGAACATGAAGACAATTCTTTCTTTGGCTTGTGGGTTACAGGACTGTCACTAGTGCAATGAGGTATTTTGTATACCATATGGTTACCAGAGGACAGAGTTTTTCACAAGAGGGGAAGGGATCTGAAGACAAAGGGAAGATGGGGGATGGAAATGCAGAGATACAAAATTTGAAACATTTTCTGATATACTCCCCACCCCCAGTCCACAGTTAACAACCACTCATCTGGTCATTTTATTTTAAAAAATGAGGAAATACCCAGAGAGGAAAGTGAGTTATCCTAGCTCACACAACTTATTGGGGGCAGAGCTAGGACTGAAAACCAGCTCTCTTAAGTGCTTTCCACTGACTAGCAAATGAACTTTCTTGTTATAAGGAGTCTGTCCTGAACCTATGTTACCAGAAGGCTCCCTGCGAACCTTCCTCAACCTATTGTCACCACCCATACCATCAACCCCACCACATAGTTTTATCATCATCACATTTTTAGCAGAGTAATAATTCAATAATCTTTCATTGTGCACTTTTTTTTTTTTACCAAATACTATCCCAGCTGAATCTTGTCTAAGACACAAGGTACAAGTGATGAATCATAACATCTGTAATAATGAAAATAATACCTCCTACTATTTATTTACCCTTCCCAGCATCCCAGGCACTAGCCTGTGCTAAACCCTTTACGTGCATAATCTCATATAATACTTGGTCAGCCTTGGATGTATGTACTATTTTTATTCCCATTTTAAAGACCAGAAACTGAGACAAGGAGAAATTAAACAACTCCCTGCAAGTTACCACAGGCTATAAATGGTGAAGCTTGGATCTGAACCCAGACAGCCTAGTATCAGAACCCTTGATAACCACTACACAAGTGTAACCCTTGTGGAGGACAGCTTCCTGTTTCTACCCACTCAGTTTCCCACAACACTGTTACTTAGACAGTTTCCCACTAAGAATCTCCTTTGGAATGGCAGGCCTAAAGTTATTTCCTGGTTTCAGCCTCACTTCCCCACCTCTTCAAAGCCATGCTACATAATCCCTTCATTCTAAGAGTTGGCTGAGATAATCCTTGCATTATTGCAGAAACTACAGGTACTTACCAATAATACAGTTTCTCAAGAAATGGATTATCACAGGCAATTATCACAGCCCCTCTTTTCTTCCCCTCTCCAACTGAGAGACAGTTACTGAAACTCTAACACTTCCCTTCCTGTCTGATAATCAAGCACACTGAAAAAAAAATAGATTGGTATTCCTGAAACAGCCAGTGGGCCAGGATACAGATTCTGTAAGTCACAAGATAGGGGAGGTTACGGGTAGGGCTAAAAGCCATCCAAAGCAAACTTAGACTCACAGCACAGTGTTGCAAAAGTTGACAGGACTAAGTAATCTTTGAATAAGCCAATAGATATATAGATGAGGAGCTTGTATACAGGCACAATAGTATAAATATCAACCTGGATTTCAGCCCTGCCTCAACCACTAATGTGTTTGGAAGCAAATTATAACTCAGTTTTCTTCTATAAAATGGAGGTAATGACACCAGCCTGGCAGTTTTAAGATTAAATGAGATAATGTATGTAAAAGTGAAAGAGAATAGTAAATTGCTCTATATACTTGCAAGGGGTTTGTTTCTGAGCACCTTGTTACTATGAAAAAACTTGAAAACAACTTGCTCCAAACTACACACCTGCTCCTACTAATTCAGCAAACTTGACTTGTGCACAGTTGATAAGTAGGTACTTATTATTAACCTCTAACTTCTACCACCCTTGTTGATCCAGTAGCTGCCTTTACTGGTCTTTGTCTTAGTAATAAAAATCTATTGCATTTGTTTAGCTTTTTATAGTTTACCAAGAATTTATTGAATTATTTTAACAAATCTGCAGACATGAAATGTTGGTATCACATATTTACAATCAGTAAAATTGGGGCTTAGAGGGTGATGTGACTTGAACAAGACTCCACTGCTGGTACAATCCACACTGAAAGGAAAGGTAACAGAAATAAGGAACAGAAATATGTTGTAAAGCTAATAATGCAGTCCCTTACATAATACGGTTTTGTAGAAAATTTCCTTCTCTGCCTGACAAAGAAAAAAAAAGATCCTTCCAAAGTATCTGAAATAGCCACAGGTTCTTGTTTTGTTTGTAAAGGCAGTGACCAAGTTACAAAGACAAATAATTATCTATTATAAAATGATGAATGGGGTTTTGCAATGTCACTAAAGTGGCTTCTAAGAAAACCTCCTAAAGGAAGTATGGCCATGTCATTTCTGTTGCCGTTGTTTAGAAAAAAAAAAAAGTTATGAAATTTGATACTTTCTGTATTATTTAAAATATCTAAAAATATCATCCAAAGCAATTAGAATAGGGATAAGAGAAAAAGAAAATGGGAAAATAGAAGAGAAGTAATGCTTGAGGAGAGAGAAATGGAAAAGTAGGGTTGATACTGGAAAAGCTTTATCAAAAGTCCAGGCTCTTGTTCAACTTGTCCAAAAAAGTTTGGGCAAGGAACACAAGACACCAAGGAAAAATAAACACACACACACACACACACACTGAGGCTGAGGAGCAAGGAGAACAAAGAAGCAGTTTATTTAGGGCAGAAGCTAAGAGTGCCAGCGTCCTCACAAGTGAGGAGTGCCCACAGGCTTGTTGATCCCCCTTTTCATCTTATTTTTAGTCCTTTGAATGGGTGGGGGTTTTTTGATTAGGAGCAGAATACTCGAGGGGAAGGTTTAGGTGTGGCCTGGATTGCACCAGGTTGCATCAGCTTCCGGCACACTTGCCTCCTGAAGCCACTGTACATGCGTTCTAAGAGCTGTTTGCCCTTATATTTTCCCTTACTAGTTGAGCACCACACCTGGAAGGTTGTACAGGCTCATCAGCAACCTGTGCATTTTTATTTGCGCATGCTCCACTGTTTTCATGTTCAGAGTTTCTTGCTCAGATGCTACAAAGTTTCTGTTTTAGATGCCATTCTGACCTGCGTCATGGCCTCATTAAATGCAAAACAAGGAGGTGGCTTTGCCTTGTGCCTAATGCATATACATAAGGAGGATGTCCTTGGGCCCCACCCTGTCTTCCCTGC